AGCCTGGAGACGAACCCGTTAAATGTAAGCATATGGGTGCAAACAACCAAGGCCCTGTGTAACATTGAATTTTCTATCATTACTATCCAACAAATAATGAATTCCATCAAACAGTCTTCCCATCTGAATTCCGTTGGTATCCCACCTGCCGTCATAAAACTGGGGGGGGGGGGCTGACATGCCGTTACTTTTGCTGAAAATGCTTACCCTTTCGTTGTTATCAAGCTACTTTCTAGACCAGTGGCAAACATCGCTCATCATCCCCCATCACAAGAGTGGCTCCAAACAAGAAATAAATAATTACCAACCAATCCATCACACCCCTTTAGTAGCCAGAATATCAGAGAAACTGGTTAAGAATGATGTGATGAAATTCATCAGCTCGCTGGAGTTAATCGACAAGTCCCAGCATGGTTTTCCTGACAAGCGATCATGCATAACCTGCCTATTAGATTATTTAAACCATGTTTCGGATTCTATTGACTTAGGATACTCAGTCATACTTCTGTTCCTGGACATGGAAAAGGCATTCGATCGAGTGCCCCATAAACGGCTGCGGAAAATATTGCTTCCTTTGAAATTCAGGTCCCACTCCTAGGCTGGCTATTGTCATACCTGAGCGGCCGTTCTCAGCTAGTCACCATAGCCGACCACCACTCTTCACCACGTCCAATCACTAATGGTGTTATTCAATAGAGCGTACTTGGTCCGTTACTGTTCTCGCTCTACGTCAATGACATCAGTGCGGTTATCAGTCAAGGCATGCCATTCCTATTTGCAGATGACATGAGGATAGTCTACAAACTCCGACGAGCTGAACTTGAAGACACATTACTGCTCGTACAGGATGCCCTCCACTCCCTTAAGAAATGATGAGACACTTGGATAATGAAGTTCTCGGCGAAAAAATCTAGCATCTTGTGTCGCGTCTGTTCGATACCCGAGGGATCAATCACACTCAACGGCCAACACCTTTGTGTACAGCTGTCTACCCACGACCTCGGAACCAGGTATTCTTGCAGCTTCAAGTTTTTCGAACAAGTGGAATACTAGCTGACTAGGGCCAGAAAATCAATAGCATATATATTACATAAGATCCACATAAACCCAATCAGAGTAGAACTCTTCAAAATCCTCACTCGCCCTATTTTGGAATACTGCAGTATCATTTGTGGCAGCAAGAGGAACTCTGACAGTGTATTTCTGGAAACATACAGAGGTCATTTATCAAACGGCTGCTAGGCAAGACATCCACTAAGAACTATCGGGAACGCTGCCAAACAATTCCAGCTCGATCTGCTTTGGCTACGAAGAATGAGATATAACCTGATGTTTCTGCACAATCTGATTCACCAAAACGCCCACTGCTATTTTTCCTCCTTAGAACTACAACATAGTTCGACAAGGGAGCTAGGCAATAAGGAGTTTACCCTGAGTGTACCCAAGTGCAGGATAAATCTGCGGTCTAACTTTTCTTTATCGGATATGCTGTCCTGTGGAATACGCTCCCAGTCACAATCAGATCGTGCGAGAGCGCAACGGCGTTTCTCGTTAAGCTCATCAAGTATGTACATTTGAACACGTTTATGATCTTGTTGTCTTGGGAGCCATCACTTGATGATGTGTACCAAGAAGGACCAGACAACATCTAACGAGTTAAAAAAATATTTCATACTGTGTGACATATCCTTAGTGCTGTTGCTATCCACTGTTCCAACTAGTGCACATTGCGTTGAAACACACCTGTGAGTTAAGACAAACCCTTGAAACTGCAAAAGCGAAGAAAATCAAATAAATGTTTACCATTCATGCATGAGCGTGAGATATTTTGTAAAATATGATCTGTGCCAAATATGGCCACAGTTTCTCACTCGAGGAGAAATATAGCAATTATTATTCTAATTATTATAACAGCTGCTTCGGTATCCGCGTTGAATCCATACGCCAATCATGGCCCAACCATCTCAAGTGTCTCAGCAAAAGTATGCGGTCCACCGCATACATTGCATTTCGACGCACCACCTCTGGGTTCGCAAATTTGTCGCACCAACCAATGCGCAGAATCCGTCGCAGACGGTGTTGTTGAAACCGCTCGAGATATCTCACCTCACGCCGATACATCGTCCAAGTTTTCATGCCGTATAGAAGGACGGATATCACCGTGAATTTGCACACCATCAGCTACGTACCGACGGTAAGCTGGTGCTCGTACAACACTCGGTAATCAAGCTTCCCGAATGCCGCCGTTGCTTTCAATAAGCGGATACGAAGTCCATCGTGCTTTTGCCAGTCAGTCGAAAACACATTCCAACGGTAGAAGAAGAAGGAGATTTCCAATACCACAGCACCAATGCTGATTTGTGGCACTTGGAGATTTCAACTCCGGTGAAGGCTGAAAGAGATGAACAGTTTTGCTTGTGTTTATGATGAACCCGAATTTGGTCGCTGTCGAAGCCAGAGCACTAGTCATGTGCTGCAACTCATTCGCGGTGTGCAAATAGCGCACTTTCGTTAGCGAACAGCAACCTACGGATAGTTGTCTAACAGACTAGAGTTCTCGCACCGCAACAACGGATGTTCAGCAACCCACCATCAATATGGTGCTCCACACGAACACCGTAAGCACAAGCTGCATCAAAAGCAAACGATATCATGGCATGAAGATATATATATTAAACAGGGCAGGAGCTAAAACACAGCCTTGCTTCACACCAGATGCAACTGCAAAGTCATCCGAGGTCGTACACATACTACTGTGCAGAAACTCAAGTAAACAGACAAATGTCCTCAGACAACCAAACTTACCCAAAACCAGTCACAATGTCTCGCGCTTCACCGTATCAAATGCTTTGGTGAAAGCAACAAAAAGCGAGTACAACAGCTGGTGTCGCTCTCTGCTCTTCTCCTGCGAGCCCTGTCTCGCTGAGCGCCGCAATGTCGGTGTTGTAGCGCGCTAATTCCATCGCAACTAGTGCTATGCGTCGCTCGGGGCAGCTCACTCGAGTTCCGGTCCAGCAGTGTGCACACGTTCCAGCACCCGATGTTGAGTGCTTTGCGCGCAGGTATACGATTGCATTGGTGGGCAATCACACCCGTCGTGGTGGTTGTGTTTTGGAGGTTTGCTTGAGAAACTCCGCCTGTAGTCTTTGGCTCCATAGCCTGATCCACAAGGCAGTGGCGAGCAGATCCAGCTCGGGATTGTAATTGCAGAGACAGATTGGGATCTGGTTGAGGTCCGCAATACACAGTCTTTGAAGATCTGGAACAATTCGAATGTGTTTGTGACCGTAATAAGATATGCACCTGTGACTACGGTCAGACGCAGGTGGGTTTAGGCAGGTTTGTATCAATTTGACCTGGGTTGCCTGGCTTGAGGCGCGCAGTAGCAAACCATTGAACATCTGGAGGTGCCCTCCCACCGTCAGAGACAATGCGTGGCGCTAGTGCTCTACGCCAATCGAGCTGTGAGCTTATAACCCGTAGACCTGTTATCATCTCATATGGCTAGCTTTTAAGGGAAGAGAGCCATCGGCCACTTGCTAACCTCCGAAGAGGATGGACTAGGATAATCGCAGGGCGCCCACACCTGACAGGAGAAAGACTCGGATCCTCAGCCAAAGCCTTCGCTTAAATGTACACCCGAAAGGCAGCGGGTCTAGCACATGGTCAGTTCACTGACTTATGAGGATTGATCTCCTGGTTCTTAGCTAGGAGAAGGGCGTAACCCAACTCCAACGCAGCGGTCGCCACGAGGAGGTGTCCAAGATATAAGCCCATGGCACAACATTTGCAGCAGTGGGTAGATCATCTGTCAGGATCTAGCCCCCACAAGCCTCAGCAGAACATAGGTTCTGCCGACAGACAAAATATACCAGTTTGTTTACAAGCATGGCCACTCCACACTGGATGTGTTGTCACATCTTATCCATTCTGTAGAATCTGCATTGAATGAAAAATGCGTGGCAGGTCGCCTTGTGTTTTCCGACTATGCAGATGCTTTCGGTAGCGTTGACAGATGAATCCTACTCAATCAGCTATCGAACAATTGTTTTCATCGTGGTTAAGTAATACTTCACAAACCACATTCAATTCACCCAGATTAATGGAGCGAAGGTCTCTGCGTTGCTCTGTAGTCCAAGTGTTTTACAGGAGCCACCTTCTCACACGCCATTTTCTTTATTACCTTGAAAACCTGCCCATACCATGTACCTTTATTGAATTCAAGTATGCTGAGAATGTCGTATCTGGATGCGTAACTCCAAGCCTTGGGACATTTTATAATTGTCAATATGGTCTAGATGAGCTCGTTCTTTTGTCCTCGTTATGGTCCCCGGATTTTTGTACACTTCTAAATGTCGTGATTTAAAATTCTGGTTTCTCCGCACTGACAAGTTCCGAGTTGTTTTGGACGCAGCTTCTCCTTTGGGAGGGAGTGATCAGTTCATACCCAGATTATCAAGTATTAAATTTCTTGGGGTCATTTTGTCCGTACAACTTCGTCCAATCACGTTGCCGAGAAGTTTTCTAAGGTTAGACGGTTGTCATTTTATGCTCTTTGAATTAAAGTACTTTCAGTACCCGGTGATTCGATTCTTAGATTTGTGACTACATATTTACTGCCACATTGGCTCTACTGTTCCCCTGCTTTCTTCCCTTGGTTACACAAAACGGATTATACATTGATTGTACGGTCCATAAAGGTTATTTCCAGATGCAACGGATTGGCTAGCCTCCCTTTCGGAGTTTATTAGTAACAAGCACCTAGTAGTGTGCAAAATCTTTTCCTACAAAATTCTTAACGACTCCCTTTATCCACTACATTATGACCTACCAAAAATGCTATATATTTCCTCTACCCTCTCCAAATTTATGTTTTTCACGCACTGCATCTCACCGTAATCCTTTGCTAACGTACCTTTCCCGCTTGCTTGTTGACCTTGCCAAAACGATCAGTATAATGCGAAATTATTTGCTTGAGTGATAAATGTAGACATTGTTATTTTTTATGTAACGGTAAATTCATATACATCACCATCCGCGGTGACAGTGCAACATGCTGAAAAAGCACCTACCTGGGTGCATGAAGCCTACTTTGACTTGATTCAATATCTCGGAATATGCTTGGAACCGACTGTGATTTCATGATTGCAGAAGGTTTGAATACAAATCGGTTTTGCTAGGGTTTTATTGACTTTGACTTTGATTTGAATTCGATGCAGGTACACAGAGATATCTCCTCTTGTTGCTTCCAAGCAGTATTCAGTATCGGGTTGATAATAACACATTTGGTGGTTGTCGTCTTCCAAAAGATGAAGTCATCAAGGTATGAATAATCGATACGCATAACTCTTGGTGCTTGGTGGGAAACCGTAATGCTATCCTTTCATGTGATTGGCTTTACGTGTTGTTCATCTGGATCAATCGCTTAATTTGTTTTACCGAACAGGACTTGTTATAACTAAGTGCAAAAACGATTCTTAATAAAAAGTGTCAAGCCGCATTTACTTGAAAAATCATTAACGGAACAGTCTAAGCTTGAGGGAAATAAATGCATCAACAAAATAGTTACCAGCAGCCAATAAAGTAGGATATGGGAAGAAAATGGTGGTCCGGTAATATGTAACTCAAAAGTATGCGATGATGGATAGTTTTCCCTTTGGGATCATCATGTTGAATTAACTGGCCGACAGGGTTAGGCAAAGAATAAACAGGCCAATTCCTGATGCGATTCCACCGAACAGCCATTCACTCGTCACCGGAAAGAATTCACTGCTGTCAATTCGTGGTTTATTGAAGGCCACATAAGCGATGGCGAGCATAACCGCTGAAACGAGAATGGTTTGGATCAACTAGTGCAATAAAAGCAATCGTTAAGCTACACACGAGTGATGAGGCAACATCTCTTCCAATGACATTGCTTAACTTCTCACGAGAAACTAAGGTGCAGCAGGTATTATGAACACCCATAAGAAGGATTTTATCTATCTACTGAAAATTCTTGTTTACTTGCGCTGTTTTGTGGGTTACCGTTAATTACTGTCGTTCTGCGCCTATAACCGAAATTAGAACCATAGCAATTTTACCACATTGAATTTCGTTGTCGGACTGGGCTGTTCTCATTTGTGGTTGTTGTACGAAACATGACACAGAATGTAGCGCTTATTCATGTGTCCCGTTCGACACGCAGCACCACATAAATCCTTAGAAGTGGAAGCAGCAGACTGTCAGGCGAATCTCCACTTGTTCAAACAAGTATTCACGGTCAAATTCACACATGTTCATGCGTGTCATGCTAGATTCAGCCGGCCACATGTCGTGCGTGTGCAATGGTGTAGGCCTGACAGAGGACAGTGCGTGGAACAGTGCTCAAGGTCAACAGCGGGACAAGGACATCCGTCCACAAGTGACGCGCTTCCAACCTATGTTATGGCACCTCTTCGCATGCGAACAGACACTCGTAACCGGCACTAATCGATCAAGCAGGAGTAGCTTAGCTTTAATTAAACATACGGTGCTGACTGCCGGCCAAAACGACCTTGACCAACAACCACCGAGTTGTAGCATGGTATCGTAGGTTGCATTGATTACGCCAGGGTGACCCGAAATGCTTTTAAGTTTGGTGCTTAGCAGCTGGATTAACGTAGATGCTATTCGAAATTGTGTTGTATAATAAAATCGTAAGGCATTAGGCGTAAAGTAGCACGGTTGATATCCCATTATGCTGGCAGTAATCGTACATGATCTTGAAGTTCCTGATTACGTTACCCTCACCTCAATGACTCATCCTGGGTCTAGCTAAGTAAAGACCAAACAACTAAAAGCATTATAGTGCGTTAGATTCGGACCAATGCGACTTTGTGTCAGAATGTGATCCGCCAAGATCCAGGAACTGGATGGGGTCACGTGAATCTTTGCACGCTGGTTGCGTACCTTATTGTTATTTGGTTGCAATGTCTTGCAACCCTACTTAAATGAGACGTCCACACGTTGGAGTGCATCCGATTGAAAGAATGCATGCATAGGCTGCTGGATGCAATTTGATACGTACTCTTGTGAACGGTTACATAGTTCCTTTTAACCCCATCAATTTAAGCATCTAATTACATGTGTATACTTTGTAGTCTACGTACGGCACTTGCGTCTATGACCTCGACTCAGATCGACCAATGAATCATGACGAAAGCATTTACAGGCAATTAAGGCCAGAATGAAACCACTCAACCTCAATTTCTGTGTTGCGAAGACTTTGAAAAGTTTTACTGTATCCCCAACAAACTAATTTATAAGGTGAAATTAAGACATCTATCGCCACCAAAAGATCAACTTTTGCGTGTGTGGCTTGGTCGCTGGCTTGGTAAATTAGTATAAGGTAGTAGGTTTATTTATAGTATTCTTGAGAAGGTTCGTTACAGGCAGAATCAATCAGACACATACCACACACCCAAGAAAGAGCTGGACGGCTAGGTCGTTATGCTGGGACTCCATTTTTCTTCAAGGACCCGGCTTGCTTAGTGTGCTTCGTCTCCCGAGATTTTATTGTCAAGGCTCTACGTGGGAATAATATTTCAATAAAATTGTACAGAAAAAACAATCGAAATCTCTGATTGGTTGATTTTGCTGTCGTAGTTAGAAAATATCAACTTACGTTTCTTTGCTGACATTCGTGTCATTCACTTGATCATGCCGATCTGTTCGATTTAGCAAAATACGCCCATCCGGCCGCTTAACACTTGCTCGATTTGAAATAATTGTGTAGCGCATCGTTACAAAGCCATCATGTGCTCAACGTGTCGGAACCGAATTCATGCTTTCAATGACACCGCTCCGTGCAACCGATATCGAATTCTGTCACTCGCATCCACGGACGGCGCTACAATACATCTCCTGTGTTCGCCTCCATGTCATTGCGAATTCCAATCAAACATGCCTAGTGACCACTCCAAATAGGCATGCCCTATGCTGGGATCTCTCCTGCTAGCTCGTCCTCTAAACATGAATATATATATATATATATATATATATATATATATATTGGCGGGAGAGCCTATGGTGCGCTGAGGCTGGTGGTGGCTAGATCCTGACAGATGATCTACCCACTGCTGCAAATGTTGTGCCCTTTAATCATGTTCCGGGCGCCTCCACGTGGCGACCGCTGGGTGGGACTTGGGTTTCGCCTTTCTCCCTGCTAAGATCCAGGACACCAATCAGCATGAGTCAGTGAACTGACCATGCGCTAGACCCGCTGCATTACGGGTGTTCATTTAATCGAAGGCTTTGTCTGAGGATCCGAGTCTTTCTCCTGTCAGTTGTGGGCGCTCTGCCAGTATCCTAGTTTATCTTCTTCCGTTGTTAGCAAGTGGTCGATGGCCCACTTCCCGTAAAACCTAGCCATGGGAGATAACAGGTCTACGGGTTATAAGCGCACAGATTAAATTGATATAAACCCGCCAAAGCCCATCTGCGTCTGGCCGTAGTCGGAGGTGCGTATCCTACTACGGTCGCAAAACATATATGAATCGTTCCAGTACTTCAAAGGCTGCATGTGACGGCCATCAAGCAGATCCAAATCTGTCTCTGCAGTTACAATCCCGAGCTGGATCTGCTCGCCACTGCCTTGTGGATCAAGCTATTGGGCCAAAGGCTCAGGGCGGAGTCCCTCAAGCAAACCTCCGAAGCACAACGACCACCTCGCGTGCGATTGCCCACCAATGCAATCGTATGCCTGCGCGCAAAGCACTCAGCATCGGGTGCTGGAACGTGCGGACACTGCTGGACCGGAACTGCAGTGAGCGCCCTGAGCGACGCACTGCACTGGTCGCGATGGAGCTCGCGCGTTACCACATCGATATTGCGGCGCTCAGTGAAACCCGGCTCGCTGAGCAAGATAAGTTGCATGAAGCAGGTGCTGGCTACACATTCTACTTTGTGAGCAACGCTGCCTTAGCACCACGTGATCATGGGGTCAGATTTGTAATATCCGATCACCTCCATGGACAGCTGGTGTGCGAACCAACAGGCATCAGCGAGCAACTGATGACTGTTCGCCTACGACTCGGAAGAGGCAAGTTTGCCACTTTTATAAGCACGTATAATCCGATCACGTGTTATCCTGATGACACACGGGATCAATACTACACTCAGTTATCCTCCGTGATGCGGTCTGTGCCGAGGAGCGACCGACTATTTCTGCTGGATGGTTCCCTTGCGCGCGTTGGACGTGATGCATCGGTGTGGACAGATGTTATCGATTCGCATGGCATTGGTTCAGCGAATGCGAACGGTGGCAGGCTGCTCTCACTGTGTGCCACCCACGGCCTGACAATCACGAACACTCGGTTTGCACTGAGTGCGAGTGATATAGCAACTTGGACGCATCCAAGGAGTGGGCAGACTCACTTGCTCGACTATGTCATCGTACGTCAGCGTGATATGCGTGAAGTGCGCATGACACGTGTACTGCGTGGAGCTGAGTGTGGCACTGATCACAAGTTGGTGTGGACCAAACTGTACATATATTTTCGTAAATCTATGTATTGCACTCCCGCCGTGAATCGGCGTAAATTTAACATTCTCTCCCTCGGTACTGTGGCGAAATGTATTGAGCTGGAGAATGCGATGGCTGGACGCCTGTATGTTGTGGACTGCATAGCACCACATTCGCGACCAGGTGACAGCTGCTGCCGAGGAGACCATAGGGCGCACAAACTGTAAGCGGCCTGATTGGTTTGACGACAACAATACGGCGATTGACGCACTGGTGTCGGGGAAGAATGCAGCATTTGCTGCACAGGTTGCAGACCCCAGTGACTTGGGGAACAGTATTCAGTTTCGCAAACTTCGACGGCGACTGACCCGAGAGCTCCATCGCTTAAAAAATGCATGGTGGACGGAGACGGCGAAGCAGATGGAATGCTACGCTGAGCACCGCCAACACAAGGAATTCTTTGACTCCTTGAAGGCGGTGTATGGACCGAGATTAGAGCCGCTGAGGACGCTGATCGATGGTAATTCAGGCGCTACCTGACACAGACTGCAGACATAATGCAGATCTGGCGAAAACTCTTTGGCTGTCTCTTGAACAACCGTTCAGAGATCGACTGGCCTACTTTGAACTGCCTGAAGCAGCACGATGTGAAGACCAGTCTGGTGGACACGCCGACACTGGTCAGCTGCGGAACGGAAAATGTGCCGGAGCCGACGGGATCCCTCCTGAAGACACGGCGGACCCGCGTTGTTGACTGCGCTGCACCATTTGGTGCAACGTGTATGGATTGAGGAGGATGTGCCTGCTGAGCTGAAGGATGCTCCTGTGCTACCACTGTATAAGGGCAAAAGTAGCAAGCAATGTTGCACCAATTATCGTGGCATCAACTTACTGAGTTTGTGGGCAATATTATGGCCCGAATACTGCTCAGCCCCCTCATCAGTCGGGTTGTGGAACCTAACTTGGCGGAAGAGTAGTGGGGATTCCGTTCGGGTCGCAGCACTATCGGTGTGGTGTTTGCGGCTCGTCAGTTGCAAGAGAAGTGCAGAGAACGACACCAGCCATTGTACTCGCTTTTTGTTGATTTCACCAAGGCATTCGATTCGGTGAACCGCGAAGCATTGTGGCTGGTGTTGGGCAAGTTTGGTTTCCCGCGTAAGCTTGTAAGTTTAATTGAATGTCTGCACAGTGGTATGCGAGCGAGGATGCAGCTAAGTGGGGAGACCTCGGATGAATTGTAGTTATCTTTGGCGTGATGCAATGCTGTGTCTTAGCTCCTGCCCTGTTTAATCTATATCTTCATGCAATGTTGTCCTGTGCTTTTGATGCGACTTGTGCTTACGGTGTTCGTGTGGAGCACCGTATTGATGGTGGGTTGCTGAAAATCCGTGTTTCGGTGCGAGAGCTCTAGTCCGTGAGACAACTATCCGTATATTGTTGTTTGCTGACGACTGTGACTTGTTTTCACACAGCGCGGATGAGTTGCAACATATGACTAGTGTTCTGGCTTCGACAGCGGCCAAATGCGGGCTCACCATCAGCACGAGCAAAACTGTCTGTCTCTTTTAGCCTTCACTAGAGCTGCAATCTTCAATATTGCCGCGAATCAGCATTGGGGCTGAAGTATTGGAAACCACCTCCCGCTTCTGCTACCTTGGGAGTGTGATATCGACCGATCAGCAGATACACAGTGAACTGCGTATCCGCGTGTCGAAGGCAGCGGCGGCATTCGGGAAGCTTGAGTACCGAGGTTGGAACAACCGTCAGCTTAGCATTGGCATGAAGTTGATGGTGTACAAAACCATCGTGCTGTCCGTTCTTCTATACGGCAGTGAAACGTGGACGATGTACCGGCGGGATGTGCGATATCTCGAGCGGTTCCATCAGCAGTGCTTGCGACGGATTTTACGCATCGGTTGGGGTGATAGAGTTGCAGACACGGAAGTGTTGCGACAAAGTGGAATTTATGCAGTGGACTGCATACTTTTGCTGAGACACCTGAGGTGGCTAGGTCATGTGAGCCGTATGAATTCAACGCGGATACCGAAATAACTCTGATATGGTCAACTGAGTATGGGGAAGCGGCATGTGGTGAAACCAAAGTTACGTTACCAGGACATGATTAAAGTGAGCCTCTCACGTTCTAATCTTGATTGCAGATCATGGGAATCGAAGGCGGTTGATCGGCGTGCGTGGCGCGCTCTAATCATGAAGGCAGTTGCCGAGGTGCGGGAGAAAGACCTCATCCATGCAGACAAGAAGTGGCAATTGCAGAAGCGGCAAGCACCGATGGGTTGTTCTCCATAGACATCGAGCGCATGGTGCTGTAGCACATGCGGTCGCGAGTGCCTTAGTCAGGCAGGCCTAGTGAGCCATGAGCGAGGCCACTAGGGACCACTATCGAAGCGACGAGGGGTCCTGCAGAGAACGTAGGCAGAACCAGCGCAGCGTTTGTAGGTACGCTGCATTCGATTTACTAACCGCGTGCTTGCATGCTAAGTCTCTTTATTTCAGGTGGTGGGTTTTTTAATTTTGTCCTAATGCTTTTCTTTCTCAAAAGATGTCCACCTGTACGCTGTTCTATAAACCTGTACAACTCGCTTAAGCCAATTGTAGTTAATTTCGATATTCGTGTCATTTGCGTAAAATATACTTTCTGACATCCTGAACTTATCTCAGATCCATTGTTAACAAGTTATTTCATATGCTCATTAACATAAGAATTTTGTCACGTTTCCTTATGCATTACTCGATTTATTTTCTCCGTTAGCTTTCTCTCAAGTGATTGGCTGGTGCTTGATATCCCCAGTGTGGCTGCGCTTAATGTGCATGTTGACAAGGTGTCTACCTGTCTATTACCCACTACCTCGTCCATCTGGCTCCAGGAGACAGTTGGTCGTTGCTGGAGGGGACTAGGTGCATGGTCCTAATGGCGGTGTTAGGCTCGAAGGGTGGTTCCATGCACTCAGTGTGAAGCGGACTACGGTCCAGCCACCGCCTTGTGTGCGCTTGATTTCCCCAAATACAGCGTGCTTGTGTTTGCCTGTGAAGGAGTGTGGGCCGGCTCCGTTGATGAAACGTGGCTCCCATCCGCATGCCTCCCGATCTTATTCCTTCAGGTTTACACTGGATATGGGGTGTGTGGATGGAGCTGTTGGTGGTGCAGCGCAAGCCGCCCATGATCCCTCCGTACTCGCAGGCGTCCTATGGCTGGCCACAGTGACAGGCAAATCCGAAACCGGATGCTGCCAACCATATATAGTTCAACACTTGACTACTATACCATTGAGGGTGCCACAATAGATGCTTAGAGACAACAAGACGTGAAATACGGTTGGCCAGTGGAACCGTTAAGAAGGTTAAGTTGGTTCATGTGTTATGTGGGCCCGGATCTTCCCGTTTGACCATGCCGAGGAAGAAGCTTGACTTAGAAGGGCCCCACCTCGAATGTTTGGTCATTAAGAATTGACACTCAAGGCTGCTGGACGATTAAAGGAGACCGTTGACATCCGGGTAGCTCATTCGCCTTCTGTGTGTTCAGTAGCATACCACAGAGACGTCGGTGGCCTACAAGGTTGTTCATCCGCCCTCCGTTGGGTACTCACTTCTGGTTGCAGAAGTGAGTGGTTAGTGACCATATAGCCGGTCACATTTGTTTTGACACAGTGCCGTACGAGCTGTTGTGGTATTTGATGGAGAACCAGGTGACCAACACAGAACTCCCCACACTAAGATACGCCGTCACTGATTGTCCGCAACTGTTTATTCATCTTGTCTCCAAGGCAGACCATACTTATTCGTAGTTACCTCCAAAGGAAAGACATTCCCCAGTCCGAAAGGTGGGGAAGCGCCCGATAGTGTACAGCTCCGCCACGAGGCGCATTTACATTGCGTCAATTTAACTTTCAATGATCAATTACGTAAATGACACAGCATGAAACAATCAGTACACTCTCCACGCGGTTGGCACTTATCCGTGTATCGACTGGTTTCGAATTTCGAATTACGAAAAACCAATTACTGTTATTTTTTGGTGATGGTTAACTGAGACGATATAAGAGCAATGTCATCTGTGAATGTAAATCTTGAGCAGACACACTAGCCAAAGCTTTTTAGTTGCGCAATATAAAACACTGCACTTACAAGCAGCTCCTGACATCAGGGAAGTGCACAATCCAACTAAACGATCGGTACAAAGGGAACACAAGCTGAAGAGAACGGACAAGAGGTTCACGGAGAAGAGGATAGTCGCTGTAATCAGGCAACCAATGACGGCTTTTTCTGCAGTCGGAGTCGTTTCTGTAAAAGAGATAGGAAAATATGGCACTTGATAACAAGAATGTGAATAGCATTCATCAAGGTTTCACAGTGAAAGAGTTATCTGACGCAAATCGCTAAAACTTATTCACTGCCGCATGAATGAAAGACTTAACCACCATCATCCCCCAAGAAACAAGTTGGGTGCAAAAACTCTTAACAATTCTGATACCCATTATACTTGCTCTTTCAAACAGCAAAGTGCTTACTGCAGATTAGCACACCTAACACCGTATTTAACTCGTAGATTGCTTATATACAAAGTATTAGTCTGCTTTCACTAATAACGACATACTAGTTCCAAAAAGTTTCTTTCACTAAGTCAAAGGAGTAACGGGGACACACCACAGCACATCCAAACGTCGACTAAACTGTTTGGTTGCTTGAGCAATCGTGTATGACTTTTATGTCTGTTAAGCTCGAATCCGATCCATCACTTGGCTTTTACCCGAACCGTATAATCACACTCCGCTTTAAGGCAAGCTGGACGACAACCCACATCTACACTCATCATCTTATCAAGCATTAGTTATTTAAGCTGTATAAGAGGCGTTTACTGGCGTAGGCCACTGTGATAGGTTTTTGGTGCAGTTTACCTTGGGGAACCAAACTGCGACTGAACTATGTGCTAAACTGCGCTGCCATCATAAGAAAACTGCCCCTGTGTAGGCGATCCAGCAAATCATGTTCAATTGGATTACCCAAATTCCCCACCTCCGTAATCCGGATTGGCCAACTAGGATTCGGGCAGTCATAAGCACGCACATTAACACAACGCCCTTCAGGAGACAGAAGTATAAGCCAACAGCTAATAGTAAGATAGAGGTTAATATTTGTCATAATCCTATATAAAAGGTTGGTCGGCTAGAAAACCACGAATTGCTTGTCGGATATCTGACTAGAATAGATTAGATGGTTTCCACATAAAGAGAGTGAGGCGCGGTCACCATAAATTTACAGCCCTGAAATGCAATTCTACGTCCTAGGTGAATTAACCAACGGCATTATGAAATCTTACTAGGAAAATACAGCAGGTCTTATCAAGCCGTATAATCATAACGAAATAAATGTTGTCCTGTTTATATCAACCTAGCGACTGTGGACTGGGTGACTCCCTGAGGTGCCTAGACAGTAAGCGCACTTTTCGCTTGCGCCAAGGATTAAAACGGTATCGCCCACTTGGTCTACCGCACCAATCCTTTGTTTCTGACCTGTGTAATGAGAGTGAAGACGAAAATGATGTTAAAATGGACAAAATTGTCTTTCCAGTTTCGCATCAATGTTTTAGTAATAAGCTTCTTCCTAATAACGCCAACTTACTTGTTGTTCTTTCGGACGCCATCGTAGTTAGCTGTGAAAAATTCCCCGCCGTTGATTTGGGCTAGGGTCATGACCATTCGAATGCCATGACACCTTACTCAAGCGATTTACTTCTTTGGGTCTGATTCACGTAGTATAAACACCTGCTCTTTATTTAGTCATGAATAATAGAACACCAAAATACCGTGGTCAGGATTTTGCGGAACCGTCGCAGTTGGCTAGAAACAAGTTCCTGTATTAGGATAAGAGAGTTGATCCCACTGCGACACACAGCCAGAGAGCAAAACGGGGATAAACACAACCATGCAAGCCAAGCAGTGGTCCTGAATAGACGAGAAACTCAAATAATATGCACTAGTCCCCCTAAAGCATGAGGTCTCGAAAGATGTCATGGGATAACACTGCTTTTATGACAGCGAAAGTGAGACTAAACGCTTTTTCTTCCGGATTTTGGCTTTTGCTGTAGCTAAATTAAGACCAAGACCATCAATTGCTTGGATTCAAAGTAATCCACCCAGTTTCTGCGGTTACCAAGCAAGGTCGGAAATTGCTAATCACTCTCTGGCCCTAACTCCAGAACGGTTTCACTTTCCTAAGTACCAACGAATGGAATTCAGTCACAGTTTACGGGCTTAGTAAGGGATACACGAAGACCTCCCTGATAATTATCACTTACATGACTAACTCTAACTAAGTCTAAATGTTTCACAGGCTTGTGAGAGTCCATGGAGTTCAACCTCATCTAATGATTAACAAGTAGGCGTGGCGCGCTTCCCCATATGCCTAGCAAAAGATAAACATATCTACGCGAAAGTCATGAAGCCATATTGTTCTAAGCTACTTGAGTCGGTGAGTATTTATCGATATCATTTCATTCCATGATTTGCGCCTAAACAAAGGTACGAGTTAGTCCATAGGGTAAAGCAGAGTGGTTTATGAAGTTTTGTCCCCGTGCTCTGTTTTGATTTGTGATCTTTATTTGCTACTGGAATTTCTCAAGCACACTGCTAGTTTTGCTGGACATCCTCGGTTGTTGAATCTACACAATTTGATAAGCTACAAAGTGGCGATTACATACACATTCTATTTGAATGAAACAACTTGCGGAGCAGATTATGAAGTCATAGGTATTCCCAATCAAAGTGATTTTGAGAAACTCGTACACTACCTTGTAATCCAGTATAATCAGGCAGCTAGTCAAAGTGTTCCAAAGCAGCTAAGCATCATCTGTGGGTGACGATGTTAGAGGGGTAAAAACAATCAGAGACTAGGTGGCAAATACGTAAGGAAAGCTACGCCTCAGTACCGTGCTTTGAATGCTTAAAATTTCAGCATCTAAGGGCAAGAGGGGTGTCACTGATATGGAGTACAATTGATGTGACGGATAACTGGAAGTATTTCTGTTAGCCCTTGTTAAATCACAAACATAAAAGAATTCGACTACGGCAATCTACTTTCTTTTTCCTAGTCAGTTTAAGGATGAATTCTATGAACAAGAACAAAGGTAACCAAAGTAGTGGTTCTCGTATCGTTAACGTTAAGTGACGATGTCAGAAAGCTAGTATTTTTCCAGTATTAAAACAGATGTGTATTATTGACATACACCGTGGTGCGCTTCGACGGACTGTGGATGTTAGTGGCTACATAGTCCCTATACTGCCCCAAGAACAAATCACCGAACGTCGTTGCCAGTGAATGACTACTGGTTCCAAAAAATATCCTTTAAAGTTTATATGTTGGTCTGGAAGCTTTATAATGTTCCGGAAAACCTCAACAACTTCATGAGTTCCGCGCATGGATAAAAGACAACAAACAGGGCAGATATCTCTCCGCCATAACTCCCAACCGTATCCCAGACTGACTTATATTTCCGGAAGGCTGGTGCTTGTCGCTCCAATGCTGTCTATAAGATAGTCAGCGTACTGATGCAATGAAGTTGCGAGTGGGGTGTGATGTCGAATTTGAAATCAGTGTTTACTCTTTCCAACTGCCTCACACTTTCTTTTCTACCAATTGATACTGTGCAACGTGTCAGTGTTGAACCACACACCTTTTGGTGTCACATTACAACTGTTAATTACTACGTTTATTTTATTTCACACTTGTTACTCGTATCTAATAGGTTCCTTTTCACAATGAACAAGGAATTTATATGGGTTACGAAGCGTTGCTTTATAAGTCCCGTTGGATAGATGGTAAAGATATCAAAACAACACTAATGATAATAATGATAGTAAACCAGTTAGTACTACAAATATGAGAATAAGGGCTTCTCGTTTGCTCCTGCCCACTCCTGCAATCCGCTTAGATTCACGGCACCCGCAGTTAACATCAAATATTTCCATGGTAAACTCCAGGTGTAGGACGGAGACGTAGTGCAAAATTCAGTGGTTCAATGGTGTATGATGGGATAAAAAGCATAAATTTACAAGACCCACAGGATGGATATGCAAACGAAAATTAAAATTAAAATGTTCCAATGTGGAACGTGAAGTATCAGTGGTTACATCATTGTACTTTAGCAAACAGTTGTATATCGTTTATCACTACGATGAAGGTCTAAGAGTTTTTCGAATGTCGTCATGTCTGGTGCGTTCATCACATATTTTGTTAATGCATTCCAGTGAGAGCAGATTCTAACTGAGTAAAATTACTTTCTACAATTCAAACGAGAGTGTTGCGTCATTAGTTTCAGGTGCTTGCCTCGGTTTTGTTTGTAAGGAGCTAGAATCAACAGTGATTTACATGGATGCTCGCTCTCAGTTAGTATCCGATATGTGAGAGTAAGATCTCCGCGAAGCCGTCGGTATCCTAATAAGAACACACCGAGTACACGAGGACGCATTTCGTAACTTATACCGGATAGTCCACGCGTTGCCTTTGTGGCTCTTCTTTGGGGCTGTTCCAATAGGCAAACGTCTCGTTTTAACTATGGGCACCAGGCCTGAATTGTATATTCAACATGAGGATGAACGTAGGAGTTAATCAACAATGATACTAGCCGTCGCTCAAAAGTGCCGAGAGCTCGCTTCAAAAGTCTCAAGTTCAAGTTCGCCACACTTGCTGTTTTCGACATTGGAGCAAATTTCCAAGACTCTCTTGCACAATTATACCTAAATCGCGTTCACTATTCACGTGTTGCATGACGTGTTGCCCCAAAAGTTGTGTCGACGAAGCTGCTGCGCACCGTCAGCAGGTGGCACTTTGCAGGGTTCAATGGGAGCTGGTTCCTTTCTGCTCATTCGTTAATCCGGGTTAGATCTTCCTGGAGGTAGACACGGTCGGATGCTGAGCGAATTGCTGTCCATATTTTAGCACCGTCTGCAAATATTTGCCTCGGAGATAGAATATCTGCTGGAAGGTCATTAATGTAGATTAAAAACAGTAGCGGGCCGAGGACGGATCCTTGTGATACACCACTGGAGACGCAAAGGCTTTCAGAATAAGTGTCGCCTACTCCTACCTTGATTACTCTGTCGTGTAAGTAGGCTTCTAACCAGGTGAGCAGGGAACCGTTGATACCGTAGGCAGCAAGCTTTTGGAGGAGAAAGAAGTGATTGACCCTGTCGAATGCTTTAGAAAAATCCAGGTATATCACCTCTATTGGGACTCCTTCATCAGCCGCCCTGGTCCATAAGTCCCGAGTAATCAGCAAGTGTGTG